CATCGCCAGTGTCGTATCGAATGGTCTCGATGGACAAACCCACGTTGGCGCTAACACACGTTCTGAGGATCGTCGATCTTCCCCCGCCGCTTTGTGAGAAGGCCTTCTTCTTTTTCCCCCTCCTCGCTCGCCGCCGAAGGGATGACGGAGGAGGAGCAGCACAGACCCTCCGTGGGATCCCGATCGCTTTTTGGGGAGGCCCCTCCGAGGAGCTGCAGGGAATTATCGGGAGTCTCTCCAGGGGCTCTGCGACGGCCTCCAGAGGAGGCCCCTGGAGGACAGGGCTGGGCCTGAACGTTGTTTTGCTGGACTTTGGGGCTGTGTTTCGTGTTTCGTTCTGGGAGGGAGCAACACGAAAGACAACACGAAAACAAAACGAGAAGCAACGTTTAGATCCAGCCTTGCTGGAGGGCCTCTGAGCAGTGCCCAGGGGGGCTCCACAGGAGGCCCCTGGCAATTCCCCGGGTAGGGGGCACCGGCAGGCGCCGGGCCTCCTCTCTCACCCTTGTCCTCGCCCTCCTCGGCTCTTCTCCCACCCTATGCCTCCCCGCCTCCATGTTCCCTCCTCCCTCCCCCTTAGCTCCATCTTCTCCGTCATGCCGTCTCCATCCTCTCTCACCCTTGTCCTCGCCCTCCTCGGCTCTTCTCCCACCCTAGGCGGGGAGGCAGCTCCCTCCTTCCTCCCCCTTAGCTCCATCTTCTCCGTCATGCCGTCTCCATCCTCTCTCACCCTTGTCCTCGCCCTCCTCGGCTCTTCTCCCACGCTATGCCTCCCCGCCTCCATGCTCCCTCCTCCCTCCCCCTTAGCTCCATCTTCTCCGTCATGCCGTCTCCATCCTCCCTTCTCCTCCTCCGTTCTCGCAGTCGCCCACTGCTCTCTGATCGGGCCCTGGTGGCCCGCTCCGCCCAGGAACGTGCGGAATCGCAGTCGGCGATGCATCGCCGATTCAAGGTCGATGCTTCCCCCCTCCTCCCCCCCTCCTCCTCCTCCTCCTCCTCCTCCTTCTCCTCCTCCCCCTCCTCCTCGTCCTCCTCCTCCTCCTCGTCCACCTCCTCCAGCGCTTCTTTCTGGTCGGGCGGTGCCGAGGGAGGTCGCCGCCAGCCAGGACCTCCTGGAGTTCGAGGGTCGGGTAGGTGGAGGAGAAGGAGAAAGAGGAGGCGGAGGAGGAGGAGGAGAAGGAGAAAGAGGAGGATGATGAGGAGAATCAGAGTAAGCCAAAGATGCATAAGTTAAACGATGTTGCAATACACCTTCCCGTCCCAAGTCCCATCCCAACACGCCCCCACGAGTCTTCACCACAAGAAGCCTCCCCCCTGGAAGGACCAGCACGGTCGTGTTCAATTCGCGAGGGACCCATTTTGAAAAGGCTTGCCTCGCATCCTTCTGGCGCGCAGTCTTAAGTCGGGCATGTCCCTCAACAGGGGGCACGCTCAAGAATAAGCAAATAGTAATATGTGGACGATTGTTCGATTGTCCGTTGAGTATTTGGGTGTGCTTTCAACTACCGGCGCGGCTCGGCGCGTCAGCCGCGCCCGGCGCCCCCGCCGCGCGGCCCGCGGCGGCCGCGTCGTGGGGTGCGCCTCCGCGGGCGCGGCGGCGCGGGCGTCGGAGGCGTCCTGAGGCCCGGGGAGGTCTCTGGAGACGGTCAGGGGCGGCCGTCGTCGTCGTCGTCGTCGTCGTCGTCGTCGTCGTCGCTATCGTCGTCGTCGTCGTCGTCGTCGTCGTCGTCGTCGTCGTCGTCGTTGTCGATCATCGTCGTGGTCGCTGTCGTCGTCGCTATCGTCGTCGTCTTCGTCGTGGACGTCTGGGATCACACAGTTCAGCGCGGCGTCCAGCGCTATCGCCGCTCCGACGGAACAAGAAGAGCGCCCCCCGCGGTGGAGAGGCGCTTCGAGGGAGGCCTCCGGGGGCAGCTGCCCCGTGCAGCGCCGCGTGCGCGGAGGTGCTGGGTGCCTCGACCCAACGGGGTGGCAGGCAGGACCTCCGCTTTGAAAAGAGGCGCGGGCGAAGCCGAGCGGCCTTGAGGCATTGGCATCGCCCGGCTCCAAAGGTGATCGTTCTTGTTATGCATTGTTTTGCCGATCGGCGCGGGCCCCCCTTCCCCCCTCCCCCCCCCATGGAGTAGATCTTTTGGCTGTTTTTGGGCGCCTGTCTCGAGCGGGTGGGGTCTCCCCCATGGGGGCGCATTGCTGCAAACAGTCGCGCTAAGCAGAGGTCTGGAGCCAGATCCTCCCCCCTCCCCCCCTCTTCCGCCCAATGTCGAAACGCCGAATCAAAAAAACGCTCACGAGTTGTTTTCTCTGAGGTCCCCTTGGGAACCACTCTAGGCCTCCTAGATGAGGTCGGAGCAGATTGGGCCGGAGGATCGCGCCGCATCGCCGATGCATCGGCGATGCGGCTCGATGTGGAGCCCGACTTGCACGTCGACGTCGCCGATGCATCGCCGACGTCGACGATGCATCGCCGCTGCATCACCGATGCATCGCCGATGCATCGCCGATGTGTCGGCGATGCGGCGCGATCCTCCGACCCCGTCTGCTCTGACCCCGTCTAGCTAGGAGGCCTCTGTTCCCGCGGGGTCCCCTCGGGAACCACGTGAGCCCTTGGGGGCCGGGGCTCCGCGGTGTGCCGCGGCCGCCAGCCCGGCAGGCCGGGTAGCCGAGCTCGCAGGCCCTCTCTCGCCGCTCCTGGGAGCGGGCTGGACCCACGGCGCCACAGCGGGCTGGCGGCCCGCGTGTCCGCATTTGGCCTCGGGGAGGTCGTCTCGGGGGCGTTGCGTGAGGAAGCGGATAGCTATCAAGCATTGGCGAAGCGTCCTGGCGAAGCCTACAGGCCCACCAAAGAAACTTCTCTAAGAGCTTCCTGAGGTCTGCACGGAATGTTCTCAGAACATTTCTGGCCGAGATTGTCTTGTTCTGACACATCGGGCTTACGTTCTGAGAACATTCTTGTTGATCTTAGAACATTTTCGGGGTTCTAAGAAAATTTCGTGGTAGGCCTACAGGAATGCCGGGACGGTCGACCCCTGCTCAAATCTAGACCTCCCAGATTGGGGTGGAGCAGATGGGGTCGGAGGATCGCGCCGCATCGCCGATGTATTGCAGAGCGTGATTTGCCCACCCCGCTTTCGCTTCCAGACAAGACCAAGTCATACCACGCGCCTCCTCATCAGACGTCGCCGATGCATCGCCGACGTCCACGATGCATCGCCGGTGCATCGCCGATGCTTCCGATGCATCCCCGACGCATCGCCGATGCATGGGCGATGCGGCGCGACACTCCGACCCCATCCACTCCGACCCCATCTAGGAGGCCTCTAGAATAGGCGCGGCACTGATTCGAGAGCTCTCTTTTGACAAGAAGCCGCCTTCCATGCGAGAAGCCAGTGCAGATTCCCAGAACGATTGCGCGCGGCTCAAAGGCGATAGTCAAATTTTGAAAATTGCCCCCCCTTTCACCCGTCGATCTGCTTCAAACGTTTCAGACGAATGTCCGCGGTGCCACGGGGATAACCACATTTTGGAAATGACCCGTGTTCAATGTTTGCAGTTTTTGCAGGAAGTTTTAAAACGATTTTGCATTGCGCTGAGGCGAGGACCACATTTTGAAAACGATATTCGCTCAATTCGCGAAAGGGCTGAACATTTTCAGAATGAACGCGCGTGGCGCTACGACGAAAACCACGCTTTGAAGACGATCTGTGCCCAATCTTCGAAACGAATACGTTGGATCGAATGTGCTCGGCGCTGAGGCGAGTGCCGCATTCCGAAAACGACTGCTCGCCATCCGCGAAGCTGCAGCAAGCTGTGACGACGAATGTCCGCGGCGTTAGGGCGAGATCCACATTTCGAAAGCCATCCGATGTCTATCAGGCGAACTGTTGCAACCTTCAAGCTTCAGGCTCAGACATGTGGAGGAGGTCTCAGGCGAAACGCCGGGTCCGCCCTACCGCCCCGCCTGGAGGAGTTACCTATGAGGGATGGGAGGAGGATCAAGTTGGGCGTGTCCCTCGACAGGAGGAATATCCAAAGATATTTTATCATAGTCTGGGGACGATGTTTCGATTAGTTTTACCTTTTTGGAGCATCCTTTGACTATTCCTCATTGTTCGCCCAACATCCGCCTGTAGGGGGACATGCCCGACGGAATGGGATGAGGATCGAGGGTCATTGGGGTCTGGGGCGTCGATCGAGCATCGACCAGGAGGATCGATTGGGGATCGGTGCTGAGCGGAAGCTCAGAGCCCGGAATCATCAGGGGTAACTCGGGTCAGGGATAACTCGGGTTCCTTTTTCGGGAATCCAAACCCGAGTTACCCCGAACCCGAGTTACCCCGGATAACTCGGGCGCCCAGAGCCCCGAATCATCAGGGGTAACTCGGGTCAGGGCTAACTCGGGTTCCTTTTTCGGGAACCCAAACCCGAGTTACCCCGGACCCGAGTTACCCCGGATATTTCGGGCGCCCAAGAAGCCCCGAATCATCCGGGGTAATTCGGGTCAGGGCTAACTCGGGTTCCTTTTTCGGGAATCCAAACCCGAGTTACCCCAGACCCGAGTCACCCCGGAGAACTCGGGCGCCCAGAGCCCCGAATCATCAGGGGCAACTCGGGTCAGGGCCAACTCGGGCTCCTTTTTCTGGAATCCAAACCCGAGTTACCCCGGACCCGAGATACCCCGGATAACTCGGGCGCCCAAGACCTCCTACCCTCACACGTTGAATAGCGAATTGGTCGTTTTCGGTTCGCGAGAGGGCGTCGCGGCCGTCATCTTTGCGGGCCCAGGTCCGTCGATTTCGGTCCCAGGCCGTGTGCATTAAAGGGTGGTTTACTAAAGGGAGGTTTAAACACCGCCTACTAGAGGCGCATTTGGGAATAACAAATTTCAAGCATGATCAACATACCATCAGGACGTCGCATGTCTGTGGATCGAGGCATGTGGAGAGGTGGGCGAGGGAGGCGGATAACTCGGGCGCCCAAGAAGCGAGGATCGATTGCGCCAGGTGCTCAACCTCCACCACAACACGCGCCTGGGCGAGGAGGGCCTGCGGGCCCTGCGGCGGGCCCTGGAGGGCGGTGCGATGCCGGCGCTGCGGGCCCCGCGCCCAGCGGGCCGCCCGGGCGCATGCTGCCTGTCGTTAGTCGTTCCTTCTCCTCGAGGAGCAAAACTCACCACCCACCAAACCACCTCAACCCAACCCGAAGGCTCAGATTTACCCTCGACTTCCAGTTGGGGGGGGGTCGGGAAACACAGTAAAAACACATGTGGAACCCTTACCCCCCCCAACCCGAAATTCGGGTCTTCGGGTTGGGTTGGGGTGACTCAGAGCGCGAATTACCTACCCCGCTTTCGCTTCCAGGCAAAACCAAGTCGTACCACGCGCCTCCTCGTCAAGCGGCCTGTCCAGTACAGGCCGTAGTTTGGCGTCGCTTGGTATCTCTTGGAAGCGAGGGTGGTCAAAAGCAAAACAGCTGCACAATCGCAGGCCTAGAGGTTGACACCAACACCAAGATCGGCGGGGTTCCTCCACCGAGGGAAGGAGATCCCGATCTCGGTGATGGTGGTGATATTCTGGCTTCCAAGGTGGCCGAAACATTACCACCAACACCGAACTCTAGGATCACCTCCCTCCTGTGCAGGCAGCCCTCTGTCTTGGTGTTGGTGCCCATTTCCAGGCCTCCCACACAGGCATGGACTGTCGGAGCTCCGCGCGGAGTTCTTGCATCCGCGTGTGGGCAATCCTGGCGGCGCCATTCGGCGCCGTGACTGGCGCGGGGGGTCCAAGCGCCGATCCCAAGAAATTTTCGCGCGGAGCGCCGCAGCCACTGTGTTGGATGTCGGTTCATGGGAGCTGCATTTGGACAGCAGTTGTATCGTCTTTTGCCCTTCGTGCTCTCCCCCCTCCCCATGTTCGGTCTTCTCGTCTCCCTTGTGAGGGGGCGCATCTGGTCCAAATATGGTCCTCCACGTATTTCAAATCTGGTCCAGGCCAGACCCAAATTTGACAGCTCCAGGGACCACGCAGGCACAGGTCCGCAGCATGCTGGACGGCTCAGGACGGTTCACATTGTGCGCCTTTTTTCGTATCCCCCGTGCAACGTGTTAGCACGGGCACATCCGTTCTATCGCGAAGGTCTCTCGCCTCCTGGCGTGGGCGGCCGTTATGGCTACACGGGCGGAGCGAAGCTGCAGCGCGAGGGTGCACAGCCGTGGAGCAAAAAGCGGCGCGAGCACGAGTAGCCAGGCACACACTGGTTCAACAAAGTCAGTCTCACTTGGTGCTCAGAGCGTTGGCTGCCTGGGGGTAGTGTGCCAAATTGTTCTCCTCCGCCGAAGGTCCCGACCAGCAGGTCCATCCAGATGTGTTCCCATCGGGAGTCGGCTGTGGAGAAGCAGCTTCGGTGAGTTTCGTAAGCAGACTCGTGGGCTGCAGGATGTGGGCACTGGGGAGGTGGCCAGTGGGCAGGCTACTGCAAGCCATACCTGGGCCAAGGAACCCGCGGCGTTGGTGTCAAAGCATGGCCAGATCTAAGATATCAGTTTCGTCCTCGCAATTCGCGGGTCTGGCGATCGCGAATTCAAGGTGTTGTCGGCCGTGCGTGCTCGAGTCGCAGCTGGCCTCGACGCCGAAAGCCCACCGGGGACTGGCGTGCGCAGCATCTCCAGTCGGGCTGCGGCCGCGCAGGTCCATGTCGAAAGATGTTCGGCCAAGTCGGAAGCGGCCAGGGCGGCCATACTTACGGCCAACTTCGCAGTCGAGCGCGCAACAACGAATCCAGCAGCGGCGTCGGCACAGATGTCAAAGTCACAGTCGGAATCTTGTCTTCGGACTTTTGGTGGGCCTTGTCAGTACGCTCACCACCCCCTGGCTGCACGCCGTCGCTGTCGCTTCTACTGCTAGGACTCTGGAGCACGGCTCTCCTGTCCGACGTGATTACCCAGGTCAGGATTTTGTCCTGGGTCGCGCAAGCTTGCACGGAAATCGGCAGGCTCGGCGGCGACGGTGCAGCAAGTGAAGTAGCCGGCGCCCCCCGGGGGGGGGGTCAGGCTTCCGAAGGGCAGCCAGCATCGCACCGCCAAGGGGAGCCAGCTCCAGGTGCTCCTAAATCGGCAAAGCCCCGTGTAGCTGGGCAGGTAGCGTACTTCGATGGCTTGGACGCGGCAATTTGCCGTGCACAGCTCCAGTCTTGCGGCATTGGCACACCCGCTGGGGGAGGCCACGAGGACATTCCAGAGCCTGACATGTGCGTGCGTCTCATGCGCCCAGGGCGGCGCGCGTCATGGCGTAGGCCACGATGGTCGGGGCTTTGCGTAGTCGGTGTGATGATGATGCCGTTCGCCAGTGATGTAGTGGGCCACATGGGCCTACATGTTTCAATCCCTTTCTTCAACTGGTGCCCCAGGTGCTGCCAGCGGAGATGGAGGAGTTGCCTTTCATTTTCCGGACACCGGCGCGCCTATTGGCTCACGTGTTGATAGAGTGTGGGGGTGGGAAATCTGTTGGTTGTGTCCCTGGCGTGCAGCCCATGCGCCGTGCCAATGGCTGGGTGCGGATCGCCCTTGCGAGCTGTGCTCCAGCAGGCCTCTGCGGCAAACGCCGCGGATCGCGCACGCGCTCCGGCGATGCCCCCGGCTTCAGCGACGCCGGAAAGGTCATTTGTCAGGCCGAGCGTGGCTGGAGCGTGTCATTTGTAGCCCGGCGGGGACAGACCAGACGATCTATTTGCCTTTTAGTGTTGCCAGACGAAACACTTAAACCTGCACCGCATGACTTTGCCTTAGGGGAGGAAAAAAATGGAGCTAGCTTCTCCGCCATTCATTCTGGCGCTCTTGGTCAGCTACATTCTGGCGCTCTTGGTCAGCTGTGCGACTGCGCTATGGGCGCCGAGGCGCAGGGGGTCCTCGCGGTCAGGAGCGCGGCGCCCCGTCCGACAGGAGCGGGGCGAGAGAGACGGAGTCGGGCGCTCGACGTCGGCTGGCAAGCGAGGAGCGGTGCTGTGCCGAGCTCACCGCCCACCAAACCACCCCAACCCAACCCGAAGGCGCCAATTTGCCCTCCATTTCCAGTTGGGGGGGGGTCGGGGAACGTTGAGAAAACACGCATGAAGCCCGTACCCCCCCAACCCGAAATTCGGGTCTTCGGGTTTGGTTGGGGTGGTTTGGTAGGTAGTCACGAACGAGGTCGGCTGGCCCGGCGCAGCTGGCCCGTGTAGGAGCGTTCGTGCGCGCCGCCGTGATCGCGGGGGTCTGGCAGGCTGGCGGCAGCTCGCGCGCGGCCGTCTTCTGCTCGGGGGCCTCGTTTTCGCTTCGGGTCGCGCGCAGCGAAGGCCTGGGGCCTGCGAATCAAGCCCTCCTGTGGCGCCCAGGGTGGTCGGAGCTGGCTGGAATATGGAGCTCGAGGCCCCGGGCCAATCGGGATGGACGGCTACCGATGGCAGCAGCGCCATGGTGACCGAAGCCTGTTCGCGCCGACGGCTACACATCCACAGCTCGTGTTGCATGGCACGCGCAGGACAAACTTGAGACTATGACTGTTTACTGGCGGGGCGGGGGCGGAGGCGAGGGATGACGGAGGCAAGGCAGGACGGCGGCGGCGGGGTGATGAAGGCTAGGGAGGACGGATGCACATGACGGAAGAGGGAGGCACAGGGAACGCAGGTGCGAGAGATGGTGGGATGGGGCCGTCTACCTATCTCGATGGGGCAACGGTTGGCGCCGCGCCAGTCTTCGCCCTTGCGTGTCCTCCTCAAGCGCTTCGCCAGGGAGGCTTGTGCGTTGGGGAGGATGTTGGATGCGGGGTTGGGGAGGTGGACGGTGGCTTTTAGTGGTATTTGGGAGGGGGGCTGGATGTCTCCGGAGGCTCCTGGGTATTTCAGGGGTTGGGAGGTGGTCAGCGGGGGAGGAAAGAAGAGGGGAGGGAGGGGGGAGGGCAGAGACTATGGAGGAGGGGGAGGTGGTGGAGTATCCAGGATGAGAGGTGAGAGAGGGAGTGGAGGAGGATCCACAAGGAGGAGGAGGAGGAGGGGGAGCATTACCAGGGCGACTGATATGGGGGAGGACGCAGGAGGCGGAAAGAAACAAGGAATAGATGTTGAAACCACAACTTCCGCTCAGTGCTGGCCGACGAGGGGGAGGACTGGCAGGAGGAGGAGGAGGAGGAGGAGGAGGAGGAGGAGGAGGACGACGAGGAACAATGGCCCCGCCCTCGAGGTCTTGAACCTGAACCACTGCTCCCTCCAGAAGCCTGGCGGCCAGGCGTCTGGCCCTGGGCGGGGGATGAGGTGGAAACGGTAGTTGTGAGGGCTCTTCGTCTTTCTGTTTCTCTCCTCCGTGCCCTCACCACCACCGTCACATCATCAGGATTCTCCCTTGTCGTCCTCTTCCTTCTTCCCTGCTCGCCTCCTCCTCCTCCTTCTCCTCCTCCGCTTCCCTCCTCGTCCTCCTTCTCCCGTTCGCCCTCCCGCGTCCTCCTCATCATGCCTCTTCGATCTCCCCCTTCCCCTCCACGCCCCGAGTGGTGGCCTCGCAGTTTGGCTCGGCCTTGTTCGGATCGCGGGTGGTGCCGGAGCCACACGGCGTGTGTGTGTGTGTGTGTGTGTGTGTGTGTGGTGTGTGTGGTGTGTGTGTGTGTGTCACGTTGCGCCCCCCCCATAACGCGCGGCGTTATGGCCGCGAATAGAATGACGCGCTTATAGGCGCGAATCGCCCAGGAGCGGGCATTACACGTATTCGCCGGGGGGCCTCGCTGAAGACGTGGACCGTAGGCGCCGTTGGATACGTATTGCTCCCCCTTGGGCTACTATCCGCCCCGATCTTCGCCCCCGACTCCCAGGTGGGGTGCGAGCTGAAGGGGTCGGAGGATCGCGCCGCTGTCAGAGGAGGGCGAGTCGATGCAGCGGCAGTTTGCCTTCGGGGTGCCCTCCACGTCGCCACGGCTGGTCGCGGCTCGGAAAAGCGGGAGGGGTTCAGGGACCCATTTTGTTGTAGTTGTTGTGGTTGTTGTTGGTGGTGTTTGTGTTGGTGTCGGTGTTGGTGTTGTTGTTGTTGTTGAACCCTCATTCTTGAAGAATAATTATTGTTGATCCCCCCCCACCGGTGCACATTGATTTTTTTCGATTGAAGTGCCACCCCCGGGGCTCGCACCTTGTTTTTTTCTCAAGGAAAGTCTTCCTGCTCAAACTGTGCCCCTGCCCCCCGGGCTACAACAACAACGGCTCCCGCCTGAGACTTCCTCGATTTTTACTCAGGACCCCCGCTCCCGCCTGAGACTTCCGCGCAATTTACTCAGGAAAGGCGCTCCCGTCTGAGACTTCCTCGCAATGTAATCAAGACCCCCGCTCCCGCCTGAGACTTCCGTGCAATTTACGTGGGAACGGCGCTCCCGCCTGAGACTTCTTCGAATTTTACTCAGGACCCCCGCTCCTGCCTGACATTTCCGCGCAATTGACTCAGGAACGGCGCTCCCGCCTGAGACTTCCTCGCAATTTAGTGAGGACCCCCGCTCCCGCCTGAGACTTCCGTGCAATTTGCTCAGGAACGGCGCTCCCGCTTGAGACTTCCTCGCAACTTAGTCAGGGCCCCCGCTCCCGCCCGAGATTTCCTCACAATGTACTCAGGACTGCGCTCTCGCGTGCGACGTCCTCACAAATTATTCTGGAATTGCGTTTCGGCGCTCAGGAACCACGCACGCGCCAAGGACGCCTTCACAACGTGGTATCTTCCCTCTTCCTTCGTCCTTCCCCCTCCCCTTCCTCCCACTCTCCCTCGTTCTTCCCCTCCTCCTCTTGCAGGGCCCGCGCCAATTCCAATGGCGGGCAGAGAGATGTACGCCCCCGAAGGATTGTCCGCCCGTTCCGGTTTGCCCGTACGTCTAAGCCCGCTGGCCCCAGCAACGAGAAATAATTCCCCCGAAAGGGGTGTGATCGAAGACGAAGAGGGCGGGTTTCGAGGGTGCAGGGTATACGTGTTGAATGACCCGCGGGCAAGTGAGAGCGTGCAGCCTTAAATTGGTTGTTGTTGTTGGTGTTGGTGCTGGTGTTGGTGATGGTGTTGTTGCTGTTGTTGCTGTCGTTGTTGTTGTTGTTGTTGTTGTTGTTGTTGTTGTTGTTGTTGTTGTGGTTGTTGTTGTTGGTGGTGGTGGTGGTGGTGTTTTTTGCTGTTGCTGTTGCTGTTGTTGTTGTTGGTGTTGTTGTTGGGTTTGAACTCATTCTTGAAAAAATAAGTATTGTTGATTCCCCCTCACCGGTGCACATTGATTTTTTTCAATTGAAGTGCCCCCCCCCGGGGCTCGCACCTTGTTTTTTGTCAAGGAAAGTTTTCCTACTCAAACTGGCCCCCGGGCTACAACAACAACGGCTCCCGCTCGAGACTTCCTCACAATTTAGCCAGGACCCCCGCTCCCGCCCGAGACTTTCTTCCATTTTATTCAAGAATCGCGCTCTCGCTTGGGACGTCCTTACGATTTTTTGAGGAATCGCTTCTCCTGAAGACTTGCTTGCAATTTACTGAAGAATAGTGCCCTTGCGTGGGGATGTCTTGCAATTTACTCCAGCGCCGCGCTCCCGACACCCAGGCACTCAGGAGTCGCGCTCACGCTTAGGACTCCTTCACGTATTACCTAGGAATCGGGATCTCGCTGCCCTTCGTGGCCCCGTTGCAGCCCTTCGTGGCCCCCTCGCTTTGTTTCGTGGCCACGTTGCAGCCCTTCGTGGCCCCCTCGCTTTGTTTCGTGGCCCCGTTGCAGCCCCTCGTGGCCTCCTCGCTGCCCTTCGTGGCCCCGTTGCAGCCCTTCGTGGCCCCCTCGCTTTGTTTCGTGGCCCCGTTGCAGCCCTTCGTGGCCCCCTCGCTGCCCTTCGTGGCCCCGTTCCAGCCCTTCGTGGCCCCGTTGCAGCCTTTCGTGGCCCCCTAGCTGCCCTTCGTGGCCCCCTCGCAGCCCTTCGTGGCCCCCTCGCTTTGATTCGTGGCCCCATGTATGTATGCCCTTCGTGGCCCCCGCTCGTTCGCGCCCGTGGTGGCCTCATATGCATGCCCTTCGTGGCCTCGCCGTCGCCCTTCGTGGCCCCCTCGCTGCCCTTCGTGTCCCCGTTGCTGCCCTCAGTGGCCCCGTCCTTACCCTCCGCGGCCCAACCTACGTATGCCCTTCGTGGCCCCCGCTCGTTCGCCCCCGTTGTAGCCCCATATGCATGCCCTTTGTGGCCCTGCTGTCGCCGTTTCTGGCCCCCTCATTGTCCTACGTGGCCCAGGTGCTACCCTCATTGGCCCCATCGTTGCCCTCTGTGGCCCCGCATTATCAGCCCTTCGTGGCCCACGCTCGTTCGCGCTCTTCGTGGCCCCATACGCATTCCCTTCGTGTCCCCGCTGTCGCCCTTCGTGGCCTACTTCGTGTCCTTCGTGGCCCTGCTGTCGTTCTCTCTCGCTCTCGCTTTCGCTCGTCGTCGTCGTCGCCGTCGCCGTCGTTGCCGTCGTCGTCGACGTCGTCGTCGTCGTCGTCGTGGTCGGTCCCCTGTCCGTCCCTCTTGGGGTCGGGTCGACGGTCCGCGGCCGCCCCGCCGATCAGCGCTGCCGCTGGCCAAGCCGACGGTCCGCGGCCGCCCCGCCGCTTGCCGGGGCCCGGCCTGAAGACGAAGACGAAGACGAAAAGGGCGGGTATCGAGGGTTTGGGAAATTCGCGTTATTCGACACTCGAGCAGATAAGGGCGAACAGTCCTAAACTGATTGTTGTTGTTGTTGTTTTTGTTGTTGTTGGTGGTGGTGGTGATGTTGTTGTTGGTGTTGTTGGTGTTGGTGTTGTTGGTGTTATTGCTGTTGCTGTTGTCTCAATTCTCCCTGCTCCGAGCATCGCCAATGCATCAGCGATGCAGTTCTATGTGAAAGCCCAACGTTCTCCACGCCGACGTCGCCGATGCCTCGCCGACGTCGCCGATGCATCGCCGATGCATCAGCGACGCATCGACAAAGAGGAGGAGGACGAAGAGGAGGAGTAAGAGGAGGAGTAGGAGGAAGAGGAGGAGGAGGAGGAGGAGGGATGAGGGAGAGGAGGAGGAGGAGGAGGAGAAAGTGGATGAGGAGGAGGAGGAGGAGGAGGAGGAGGTCGAGAAAAGGAGGAGGAGACGGGATGGGGGAGAGGGGGGGAGGAAGAGGAGGAGGAGAAGGTCGAGGAGGAGGTAGAGGAGGAGGAGGAGGAGGGATAGCAGAGAGGAAGAGGAGGAGAGGAGGAGGAGTAGGAGGAGGAGGAGGAGAAAGAGGAGGAGGAGGAGGAAGAGAAGGATGAGGAGGAGGAGGAGGGGCAGGAGAAAGAGGAGGATGCGGAGGAAGAGGAGGAGGAGGAAGAGGAGGAGGAGGAGGAGGGATGAGGAGGATGAGGAGGGATGAGGGAGAGGAGGAGGAGGTCGAGGAGGAGGAGGAGGAGGGATGAGGGAGTGAGGGAGGAGGAGGAGGCGGAGGAGGAGGAGGAGCAGGAGAAGGAGGAGGATGAGGAGGAGGTGGAGGAGGAGGAGGGATGCGGGAGAGCATGATGATGGTGATCATGATGATGGTGATGCTGCTGATGCTGATGTTGATGCTGATGCTCATGCTCATGCTGATGATGATGATGCTGCTGATGTTTATGATGATGATGGTGATGATGACGATGAAGACACATATGATGATGATGATGGTGATGATGATGATGATGATGATGATGCTGATGCTGATGCTGATGCTGCTGATGATGATGATGATGATGATGATGATGATGCTGATGCTGATGCTGATGCTGATGCTGATGCTGCTGCTGCTGCTGATGCTGATGCTGCTGATGATGATGATGATGATGCTGATGCTGATGCTGATGCTGGTGCTGCTGCTGCTGATGCCGATGGTGATGCTGATGCTGATGCTTATGATGCTGATGATGATGCTGATTATGATGATGACGATGACGATGACGATGACGATGACGCTGATGATGGCGATACTGATGATGATGATGATGCTGATTTCTCCCTCCTGCCCCTCCTCCCTCTACTCCCGTCTCCTCTCTCCTTCACATCACCTCCCTCCTGCCTCCTGCCGCTCCTTCCTCTACTCCCGTCTCCTCTCCCCTCCTTCACGTCACCTCCCTCCTGCCTCCTGCCCCATCCTCCCTCTACTCCCCTCTCGTCTCCCCTCCTTCACGTCGCCCCCATCCTGCCTCATGCCCCTCCTTCTGCTCCGTGCTCCTCTCCTCTTCACGTCATCTGCCTCCTGTCTCCTACCCCTTCTCCCTCTACTCCCCTCTCCTCTCCCCTCCTTCACGTCACCTCCTTCCTGCCTCATGCCCCTCCTCCCTCTCATTCCTTCTCCTCTCCCCTCCTCCACGTCACCTCCCTCCTGCCTCCTCTTCCTCCTCCCTCTGCTCCCTTCTCCTCTCCCCTACGTCACGTCATCTGCCTCCTGCATCTTTCCCCTCCTCCCTCTACTCCCTTCTCCTCTCTCCTCCCCGTCGACCGTGTCATCTGTCTCCGGCCTTGCACCTCCGCTCGCGCCTGGCGGTTGCAGGACGAACCCAGACTTGCCACGGCCCTGGGCATTTGCTAAAAAGCCCTGCCCTGTTTGATTCCTTCATTGGGTTCGTTTACTAAACGGCTTCGCGTGTTAGGGCGACTATCATGGGGGGGTATTTCCTGCCCTCTACCATGGTGACCCAGTGGCGGGCCGCCGGGCGGGGGAAACAAAATTACGCTACCGAGGAACCCCACATAATTATATCATGGCTGGAGTGATGGTAACTGAAGTGACGCATGTGATAATGATGCTGGTGGCCGTTGCCCCGCCGAAGCCGTTGGTGACGCCAGTCAACAGGAGAGGAGGGAGGAGAGTGGAGAGGAGAAGCGCCGCGCCCGCCACACGTTGCGAGTCCGGAACGCATAGCGACCGCACCCCCAAGGCCCCTCCTGCGGCGTCGAGGAAGTGCAACGCCTGCCACACAAGCGCACCCCCTGTGGCGTCGAGGAAGTGTCACGCCTGCCACTCCTTGCGGGCCCGAAACGGATAGCGACCGCACCCCCAACGCACTCCCTTCGGCGTCGATCAGTTGCCACGCCTGCCACGCTTTGCGAGCCCGAAACGGAGAGCGACCGCACCCCCAGCGCACCCCCTTGTGGCGCCGAGAAGGTCTCACGCTGGCCACGCTTTGCGAGGCCGAAACGGATAGCGACCGCACCCCCAGCGCACCCCCTGTGGCATCGAGAATGTGCCACGCCTGCCACACGTTGCAAGCCCGAAGCGGATAGCGACCGCACCCCCAGCGCACCCCCGGTGGCGTCGAGGACGTGTCACGCTGACCGCGCTTTGCGAGGCCGAAACGGATAGCGACCGCACCCCCAGCGTACCCCCTGTGGCATCGAGGAAGTGCCACGCCTGCCACGCTTTGCGAGCCCGAAACGGGTATCGACCGCACCCTCAGCGCACCCCTTGTGGTGTCCAGAAGGCGCGACGCTTGCTAGGCTTTGCGACAGTGTCGTGGGTAGCGGCCGCGGAGAGAGACCACCCCCTGCGCACCCCCTGTGGTGCCCAGAAAGTGCCACGCCTGCTAGGCTTTGCGACAGTGCTGTGGATAGCGGCCGCGCCGAGAGACCACTCCCTGCACACCCCTTATGGTGTCCAGAAAGTGCCACGCGTGCTAGTCTTTGCGACAGTGTTGTGGATAGTGGCAATGTTCAGAGACCGCTCCTTGCGCACCCCCTATGGTGTCCAGACAGTGGCACGCCTGCTAGGTTTTGCGACAGTGTCGTGGATAGCGGCCGCGCCGAGAGACCACCCCCCGCGTACCCCGTATGGTGCCCAGAAGGTGCCACGCCTGCTGGGCTTTGTGACAGTGTCGTGGATAGCGGGCGCGCTGAGAGACCACTCCGTGCGCACCCCCTTATGGTGTCCAGAAAGTGCCACGGCTGCAAGGTTTTGCGACAGTGTCATGGATAGCGGCCGCGCCGAGAGACCACCCCCTGCACACCCCCTATTGTGTCCAGAAGGTGCGACGCGTGTTAGGCTTTGCGACAGTGTCGTGGATAGCAGCCGCCCCGAGAGACCATCCCCTGCGCACCCCCTACGGTGTCCAGAAATCGCAAGGTTTTGCGACAATGTCGTGGAGAGCGGCCGCGCCAGAAAGTGCCACGCCTGCTAGGTTGTGCGACAGTGTCGTGGACAGCGGCCGCGCTCAGAGACCACGTGCTGTTTCCCTGATGGTGTCCACAGGTGATGTGGTGAGGTGAGGTGACGTGCTGTGCTGAGGTGCTGTGCCGTGCTGAGCTGAGCTGCGCTGTGCCGTGCTGAGCTGAGCTGAGCTGAGCTGAGCTGTACTGAGCAATGGTGGGCTGTGCTGTGCTGTGTACGTGCTGTGTGTCAATGTGCTGTGTGCTGAACTGTGCTGCGCTGCGCTGCGCTGTGCTGCGTTGCGCTGTGCTGTGTGAGAAGGAGAAAGGCGCGGGCGCGACGCGGTAAGGAAAAAAAGCAAAACCCCACGAGCCGTGCAGGTGTTGCGGGTGGGTGATGAGAGGAAGAGGGAGGAGGGGAAGAGGGGGGTGAGTGAGCGTCGCGGGTGCGACGCGGCAGGGAAGAAAACCAGAACCCCACGAAACATGTGGGGAAAATCAGTTGGAACCCCGCGAGAGGGTGTCGAGATGGACCCGCGGGGCCATGATTCGAAGAGAAAACGCTATAATCATAAATTTTTGTCGCTCCGCGCGGATATCTTGGATCTGCGCTGGACCTCCCTGGCGGCGCCTCCGGCGCCGCCCCTGGCGCGGTCCGCGCGCCAGGGAGCGGGTCCAGCGCAGATCCAAGAAATCCGCGCGGAGCGCCAAGAGTTCACGTTTACAGCGTTTTGTTTCTGTCTTTTTCTAATGATGCACGGCGGGGGGGAGGTTTTGGCGAGGGAGATGGGAGTGCAAGATGGCGTCGAGCCTGCCCATCTGCATGAGGGAGACTGCATGATAGGAAACATAGTCAGGTGACGATTGTTTGTCATATTTTGATTCATTTGAAGGTATCTGTTTGAATTTCCTTCCAGCATCCGCCTGCAGGAGAACGTGCCCGGCCTAAGTGTAAGACACGGGGGTCAATGCAAATAGGGGTCAACCAGAGCGCGGGATCTTGCATGATGCTGCAGAGCCACGGGTGCACTGACCCGGGCGGGCGTGCAGGATCCAGCAGGACCCGGCAGGGTCGTGCAGGCTCTTGCTCAGCCAGACTGACCCGGGTTTGCATTGACCAGGGTCATTGCGTCGTATGAGTGACCCTTCGCGGGAGTGATATTTGGTGAGGGCACGCAGGAGTGTCCCCAGTAATGACTGGCGCTCGGATTGCTTTGGTTTGGCGCCTACAGCGGCCTTCTAAAGCCGCGCGCCAAAGGTAACTCTTGCCCAGGGTCATTATTGTGTGCAGCTGAGCATCCAAGACTGGACAGTTGCCCCCCCCCCCAGGGGGGGCGGCTCTCGATAGCAGTCTGTCTCTGAGACTTGCGTTTCGAATGAGATTTGCCGGATGAGTTAGTTGTCGAGAAGTGTTTATTAATAAGTTGTCGACGGCGACGACGAGCTTGCAGATGCTGGTGGAGCTGTTCCCCTACCTGCCCCAGCTCAAGGAGCTGATTCTGGAGGGCAACGGCCTTGGGGATAAGTGTGTCCACGACATCGCGGAGGCGGCTGGCCATGCTTCTGTCGAGCGTTCTCTGCTACAACGGGCTCCCTTTCTTGCCACACTTTGCCTTCCTCTTGCTCCTGACTCCGCCTGCTCCTGTGAGTCCTCCCAAGCCCCATCTTTCCGATCGCGCAGAATCATTATCTTCCCGTTCACTCTTCCCCTGACCTCACCCGTGCGCCTTCCTCCCCCTCCGTTTGTTGTGGTTACGTCGATGTTATCGCCTATACCACGTCAGAGAGCTCCCCGTCCGTTGTTGGGGCCATTTTCCTTAGAGCATCCTCTGGCAGAACAGTTACACTTCTTTCTCCCTGCTCCTCCCTACCTCTCATCCTCATCCTCCGTCCACTTGTGAGAGAAGCGGGGCTGTCAAGCTGAAGAAGTGATCCATCTCATTGTCCCCCGTATCGCCCTGCGTACTGTGCAGATGCTGATGCTCCTCCTGCCGCACCTCGTCGTCCTACTCTTCCTGGCTCGCTCATTCCTGGCACGTGTTTGTCCACCTCAATGGCAGCTGCAGGCGATGTCGTCCGAGAGCCTCCCGAGGCTGACCACGCTTACCCTCGGTTCGAACCGCGTGGGCAACGAGGGCGCCCGCGCGTTGGCCAAGAAGTCGTACAGCGCACGGTTCAGCCCACTGTCCAGGCCGCCCACTTGTTGCGTTGAGGAGGGATGCGTTGTTTCGGATGCAATTTTTGGGGATCAAATTCTGACTCTGCCCTTGTCCGAAATCCGGCTTGATCCCGTTGAATCCGAGGCCCAATCCGGCGTGACAGCCCCCCAATGGGGTTTGATTTTCCCTAGTCACGACGAAAGCCTTCCAGTAGTTGCCTCCGAACGTTGTTGAGACATAGTATGCACCTGGGCAGTCTGGCGTGCGATTTGCGAGGGTGGGGGGAATCGGGGCCAGGTGCACGTTCTCGAGAGCGTCGGTGTATGTAGGATGGGTGTCCGTTTTGTTCATGGGGCGTGCATTGGTGATACATGTTATATTTATACATGTTCGTGCGTACGTGCATGTGAGGCGTTCCAAAAAGGGCTTTGCCTTCGGGGATCGAAGGAGTTGCTTTCTCTTCATCGGCGGAAGGTCGGCGGAAGTAAAACGAGGCCGCCTCCGCCGGCGGAAGCCGGGGGAAGCTCGGCGGACGGCGGCGGAAGTAACAGATTTGGCCCCGAGAGATGACCAAGGTTTATGGGCTCAGGGTTGCCGAAATCGCACACGTGGCTATCGAGGGTCAAATGACCATTCCCATGCACAACCAGATCCGCTGGGGTGTGTGGCTGGCTGCTCCCGTGGTCCCGAGGGTTCTCCCGAGGGTTCCCCCGATGGTTCGTCCCGATGGTTCGTCCCGATGGCTCGTCCCGGTGGTTCGCCCCCTGGTTGTCCCGATGGTTTTCCCGCGGATTGTCTTGATGGCTGTCCGGGGGTTATCTCGATGGCTGTGCCGATGGTTTCTCCCGATGGTTGTCCCCATGGTTCTCCCGATGGTGCGTCTCGATGGTTCGTCCCGATGGTTGTCCCCCCGTGGTGCTGTCGATGGGTGTCCCGCTGAGTGTATTGATGGTTGTCCCGATGGTTGTCCCGATTGCTTCTCCGAGGGCTGTCGCGATTGCTGTCCCGATGGCTGTCCCTCTGACTGTCCCAATGTTTGCCCCGGTCGGCGTCCCGATGTTTGTCCTGTTAAATAGGTCGGGAGATCGACATATCTACTGATCATGGGCTATATATATATATATCATGAAGTGTTGATATCTTGAAGGTGCGCTCAGCAGTCGCAGACATGTTTGGTACGATCGTCGGGTTCATACATGGCTTGATGGGGGTGGGAGAGAAAAGGAGGAAGTTCAGGGGGAGGAGGAGAGGATGAGACGCCATCATGGGAGTATGACTCTGGGAGTGGGGAGGCTGAAACTGAAGAGAATGCTCGGACCAGAGATACTACCCCGGCCCCACCTCTTGCGGATGGGTCCAGAGATCAGGCAGCCCACGCCAGACAAGGAAACACGTCGTGTGCGGATGGCGGGGAAGGTGTTCGTTGTTTATTCACTGTTTTGCCGATGGGCTCGGGCACTCGCACCACCCCCCTGCCCCCCTCCTGGAGTAGATCTTGGCTGCTTCTGGCGCCTGTTTCGAGCAGGTTGGGCCCCCCCCACGGGGCACACTGTTGCGAACAGTCGCGCTGAGCAGAGGTCCGAGGCCAGGCCCCCTTTTCCCCCTCCCCTTCCGCCCAATGTCGAATCGAGGAGGAGGAGGAGGAGGAGGAGGAGGAGGAGGAGGAGGAGGAGGAGGAGGAGGAGGAGAGGAGGAGGGAGGAGGGAGGAGGATGGATGCGGAGGAGGAGGAGGGCGGGGAAGGGCGGAGGAGGAGGAGGAGGAAGGAGGAGGGAGGAGGGGGGCGGAGGAGGGCGGGGAAGGAGGAGGAGGAGGAGGAGGAGGAGGAGGAGGAACCGAATGAGAAAACGCTCACAGCGCGCCTATGACGTGTGCAACTCTCCTCTCCTGCCTCGGCGAGCCGCCCTCCCGCCGTGGCGCGCTTCGGGCGCGCGGGGCGCGGCGCGGCGAGCGCGCGGGGCGAGGCTGGACCTCCACTACAACGAGATCGGGGACGCGGGCGCGGAGGTGCCCCGCGGGGCGCCCTCCCTCCTCCCCCTCCTCGTCCTCGTCGTCCTCCTCCCCCTCCTCCCCCCGGCACCTGTGCCATCGGGATCCCTCCCCAGGAAAACAGGCGGTTTGCCTCCCGTTCGTCACCCCAGGTGCTCCCTCGTGGCCCCGGGGGAGAGACTTAATGTAGTCGTGGGCCGTTCCAGCCTGCGCCGCGGGGGAAGGGTCGCGCCTGGGGTCTCGGGGCTGTGCCTGTCTCGCTGTGGCGGGCGGGGGCGGTCCAGGGCTTCAGTGCGCGGCTTTTCCGTCCGTGTTCAGTGCCTGGGTTGTGGGTCTGCCACGTTTTGCTGCGACACCCTTGCTTGGCCCTCCCAGTACTCCGCTGGGGCATGGGTGGTGTCGCAGGTCCCCTTTTGCGGGGGGGGCTCATCGGAGGATCCCCGTCCATTCTTCCCACGGTGGCGGTCCCCCGCCGTGGCGTGCGTTGGGGCGGGCTGTCACCGAGGGAGTGGTGCCCCTCTGGTGGCTGATCGGGGCGGCACGCGCGGCGTGTCGTTATCTGAGGCCTCGACATGTCAGAACGGGCTTGCCGAGCGGTTTACCAGCTTAGCTGCTGCCTCCTGGCGCACGTGGCGCGCGCAGCCCGGCTATCCCGCGTATCTGGCTCTCGTAACCATCTGGGCTCACATCTGGGCCGCAAGGCAGGTGCATACATCTCCCAAAGCATCGAGCGATCCCATTCAATGGACGTTTTGGGAGCGTTGGTAGTTTCCAGTCCGCCCCCGAAGCCTAAACGACAGAAGGGCGAGGAGGCAGTGATGGAAGAGGTGAATGTGGAAGAGGATGGGGAGGGAGTGGGAAGTACGGAGGAAGTTGAGAAGGTGCCAGCGTTGGCGTTCAACCAGGGGAAGACTTTAAACCAGCTCGCAGGCATGGTCCGGAGCCTCCAAGATAACCTGAAGGAAGTGAAATACGAGATTGCGCAGGTCAAGCCCCAGGCCGGCACGGCGCATACGACGGCGGAGGAGGCTGTGGAAAAGGTCACCAGGTTCGAAGGGCAGATCCACGTGATAAACGAACATGTCATTACCGAGGATGACGTGGAAAGGTCATCGAGGACATCATGAAGGCTCCCCTCGGCAAAAACGGCAAAACAAATAAAAGCCACAAACAGCGGAAAACAAAGACAAGTTTTCCCGCACCGTCGTCATGGGAGGCTTTCCGCAGGGCTCTGAGAACGCGTCCGTGACCAACTACATCGAGACGAACATGTTAAAAAGGACGCGGAGGGCGTAGAGGAAGTGTACGCGTACCAGTTCGGCAATATCCGTTTCATACGCTTCGAGACACCGAAGTACATGTACGAGTAATTCACGAGCCTCACCAAGAAACCAAACACAAAGTGCAGGGGAAGGCCTTGTGGGTTTCAGCGAGCCGGAGCCCTGGAGACCGCGTGCGTGGACATATTTTGTGGAAGTATGAACGTACTCTTATCGAGGTGGTATTGGCCACGACGGAAAACGCGATGGTCGATTACAAGAGGCGCTTAATCTTCATGAATCGCGTCCAGATTGGGGAGTGGAAGGAAGGGAAGGAAGAGGAGCGCACCGTCATCTTGATCGAAGATATGATACGGGAGTGTGGCATCAACGTAACGGCCACGGTGCTCCATGATGTTTTTGTTGAAGCCCTGCGGGGCTAGGAAACACATTTTGTACCCCCGAATGCGTTTAGTACCCGTCCGAGGAGCGCGACAGATAATCGCGCGCGCCATACCCCAGAAAAGGAGGACGACTCGTCTACACCAGTCCCGAAGGATTCGTTCGAATTCGTTGTCATTTCATACAAAATCCATTCGTTTATGAATTTTGACGACAGGCTGGAGGCTATCATGTTCGAAGTTGGAGATCGGGACTGGGCTGTTTTCGTTTTCCCTGAAATGTGGAGAGCGGAACGGCGAAAGACTTTCACGACGCAAGGGGGTCACACCTGGTTGGGAAACGGGGGGGGGGTCAGGAGTTCGAATGAAGATGGCATGCTTCTACACAGGAGGTGGTCGCACGTGTCGTTCGTTGCCTCCTCCGTCAGAGTCGCTTCGCTGAAGACAGATATCGCAGGGATGCCGGTTCACACTGTTGGCGTCGACATTTCGCGCGCAGAACGGCCGGGCGACGAGGCCGATGATGTCCGCGATGCGCTGGGCGAGCTCGTTGAGAAAGGTAACGACGTTATCTTAGCAGGCGATTGACATGTAAAGGTCAGGCCGAGGTTTTTTGAAGATAGCGAACAAAATGCGATGGGGCCCAACCCCGTGGGTTCGCGAAGCGATCGCGGACAGAGACTGCTGGATTGGTGCGTGCTGCGCGGCCTCGTCCTCGCGACCATGCAGCCGTTTACACGGGAAACACTGAAGAAAGTTTTAATGGCAATACAAAATGGGACGTGTAGTGATGGGTCCGGAGTTGTGGCGGAGCTGTTGAAGAACGGGGGCGCTGTCTTGCGCGATCTCCGGCGGGACATGGAGCCTCCCGCAGCACGAGGGCAAACGAGATTTGTCGCCATCTTCAAAAACGAGCGACCTTGAGCTGCAGCAAAATTACAGACCGATCGCAATCTTACCAGTGTTGTAAAAAGCTGTTTGCCAGGATGGTACGCGACCGTGTCCAGCCTGTCCCAATGTCGAAACAGCCGCCAGATCAAGCCGCCTACCGGGAGGGGTTCTCGACGGAAGACCACTTGCTCGCTCCAACTTGAACTCTTGGAACAAAAACCAAGCATGAAATCAATGCGCATGGATGCGCCTGTTTGACTTCGGCCCTTGATACAGTCGAAGACAGTACGTTATGGTGATCTCTTCACGATTTCGACGTCGATGTGCCCTACGTCATATTGCTGAGAACGTTGTACGCAAATACATGTGCTGCTGTTTGTGCCGGAGCAGATTCAAGGAGTTGTTCTTCGGCGCGAGGGGTCAAGCAGGGCGACCCAATCAGCGCGCTGCTGTTCATTGCCGTCATGGATGCAAGTTCCGGGAAGCTGAAGGACAGGTGGCGCTCTCTGACAGGTGATGACCCTCAGGTTGGGGCATCGCTGGCAAGCTGTACGAGTCGGCGGCCATCGATGCCTTCGGCTTCAAGTACTTTCTGAACCAGCTGGGCAGAGCACCCAGTGGTGTAATTCACTGAGATGGTGGGTATATGCCCTCTTAGGTGATCGGAGTACTCGGGGCCTCAGGCCCGGTTCAACTTCACCGCGGCCTTTTTCCTTAAGCCGTTGTGGTTTTGTTGCGTGGCTGCGGGGGCGGGGGCTACGGTTCGGAAGATGTCTCGGATTTGGGAGAGACGGTTTCGGCTGCTGTGTTATATGGTGTGCGCTTGCCCTGGCGGCCCCGAGGTTGCATTTGTACCGTGGCATGTACGAGCCGATGCTTGTGCTTATTTCGTATTGTCGTTGGTCCGTGGGTCGGCCGTCGCGTGCTTCCTCTCAATCATTGGCGTTGCGAAGCGTAAGCGGTGGTGTTCATCGATTTCGGTTCCGCGCCCCCCGTGCTTGATGCGAAGATGCACGAAGAGGACGTGCCGGAGGTCCTTTTCTGAATTCGCGTTGCTCGGGCTATCTTTCGCCGAGGGATAGAGTCGTCAGAGGCTCCAGAGGAGGGCGAGGAAGACGACGAGGAGGAGGAAGAGGAGAGGGAGGAGGAGGAGAGCTCGTCTCGAGGGAGCTCCTCTCGAGGCCGCGGCCGAGGCCCAGGCCCAGAGCTCGAGGCGGGGGCCCCCGGTCGAGGAGCGGGTCGGGAGTCGAAGTGGAGAAGTGCAGCGTAAGCATAAACGTTTGGCGCTCCGCGCAGATTTCTTGGATCCGCTCTGGGCCCCCGGGCGGCGCTTTTGGCGCCGCCCCCGGCGCGCTTTGCGCGCCAGAGAAGGGGGGTCCAGCGCAGGTCCAATGAACCCGCCCGGAGCGCCAAAAGTTTATGTTTGTGCCCGTTTTTCCTTTTTTCTAGGGAGGCCGAACGGCTGACAATGACACTGTAGGGTGCAATTCCTGGGAGGCTCTCATTCTGACGACGACGCACTGGAGGCACACTGACGACGACAACTCATTCTGCATCGGCTCTGGTCTCATGTTATTCAGGGATTATTTTCTGTCCGAGGTCCGACTGTACATCGTCGTCGATGCCGTCGTTGTACGTCGTGTGTCGTACGCCGTTGTGCGTCGTCGTCGTGCGCGGCGCAATGCCTTCTCCTCCGCTTCGGTTCCAGGAGGGCCTCGGGGTTGGCTCGAGCCGCGAGGGTGCCCCCATTTCCAGTGAGGATTTGCTCGGGCGCTGGCGTGTGAAGCTGTCGGGCGGGGCTGGGACAAGGATAGGTCCGTTCCAGAGCGTTCCGGAACGCTCTGAGAGAAGGCCGCGGCGCCCGAGACACCCTCCAGAGCCACCAGATCTCGGAGATGTCCGACCGATCCTCATCAGAGTGTGTCCTCGTCTTGGCGGCGTCTTAAGCTCACCACCCACCAAACCACCCCAACCCAACCCGAAGGCTCAGATTTACCCTCGATTTCCAGTGGGGGGGGGGGTCGGGAAACATCGAAAAAACTCGTGTGGAACCCTTACCCCCCCCAACCCGAAATTCGGGTCTTCGGGTTGGGTTGGGGTTGTCTGGTAGGTAGTCATAAGCAGCGTGCCATGGCCGCGCTCCCGAGCGGTGCCGCTGGTCTGTGGCGCGGCGCACGCTGCAGCAGTCCTTGCCTCCCCCCGCCCGGGGCCCGCGCGCAGCACGGACCGCCTCGCGTGCTGGAGCGCAGCGGAGGAAAAATCGGGAGGGAAAGAAACACACAGACACAATCAGGAGGGAAAAAATCAGGAGGGAAAGAATCAGGAGGGAAAAATCAGGAGGAACACACACAGGAGGGAAAAATCAGGAGGAAAAAATCAGGAGAGAGGAGGGAAAATCAGGAGGAAAAATCAGGAGGGAAAGAAAACACAATCAGGAGGAGGGAAAGAAATCAGGAGGGAGGAGAGATCGTCGATTCCCAGAAAAAAATTGAAAATATGGGAAGTGGGGGGGAAGACGAAAGCCCAGAAAACATGGGTAAATATGGGGACTATTTAGATTTGTGTGTATTTATTTGTGTGTCCTGGGGCCCCTTCAAGAAAGGCTGACCTTTTTGGGGGGCCTCGAGGGAGGCCCTCGTCGCCACCGCTGGATTCGCTTCGAAATCCTGGCCAGAACGCGCCCCAGGAGAGGTCCGTGGAGTAGCGGTGTCGGTACCGTTCGACTTCCCCACTGGGGGAAACTGGTTCTGAGTTTTTTGGCCGCTTTCAGGCTCTAGGGACCCTCCACGGGCCCCGGGACGGTCAGAAAACAAATCAGGATAAAGAGCTCGTCTTGGAGGAAGGTACCAGGGTCCAGGGCCCGTTTCTTTCAGGGCCCGGTTTCCCCATGCTACAACTGTAGCACGGGAACCTTAAGGTATGGGTATTTTATGGTACCCATACCTTGCTACATTGCGGTATGGGTACCTTAAGGTACCCATACCGCAACCGTTCCCTCGTGTTCGCTTTGCTATGCCTCCTGGGAGGCCGTCGTCATCACCGCAGGATTCGATTCGACATTCAAGTCAGAACGCCTGGCAGAGGTCTGGGGAGTACCCCCGTATCGGTAACTTCTGTCGGCCTGGACGAAAAGGTTCGGATAGGGAAAGGGGGGGTCAACAAATTTGCTGTATGCATCCTGTTTCTTGTTTCGCCCCCGCCGCGCGGCCCTGTCCTCAAGACATGGGCGCCTCCAGTTGCCAACTGACGCCATGAAAACCAGCTACATGAACTCGTTCTCTATTCTGGATGCTTCTTTTTGTTGTTACTCAAGGGGGGGTGATCAACCTTCTGATTGAGCCTACCCAATTCCGCCCCCCTCCATCCTCCTCCCCTCGTCCTCCCCCTCTTCCTCCATCCCCCCCCCCAACCCGTTCCGACAGGCCGTGCCCAACACCCCCAGCGGATCCAGGGGGGGGGGGGGGGGGGGCCATTCTTGCTCCATCCAGAGAAGGCTCAGGGGGGAGGTTTGAGGTTCGAGGTTCTCGGGCGCTTTCGTCAGTTCTCGTCGGCTTGCCAACCTGGGGTGCCCGTAGCGGGTGTGCCTCGCCGGGGGCGTTCCGCGGGTGGTCGGATCGTCCCGAAGGGCCAGGGTCGTCCCAGAAGGCCGCCGGAGACCCGAGCTGTAGCCCACCCAGAGCATTTGCCCTGTGCCCTGCCCTTTGCTATCCTCCCCTTCCGTCCCCCCCGAAAGGGGGTCCCCCCAGGAGCAGCCGGGCCACGGGCATGCGGGCCGTGCTCGGTACTTGGCGTGCCTGGTCGCGGTCGGGGCGTCGTCCAAGCGTGCCACGCCCGGCAGAGCAGCGCGCTCGGCGCGAGTGCCCCTGCCGCCGGGGTCGGCGGTCGTGGGAGGGTCGCGTCCGCGAGGTGCCCTGGGCCCCGGGCGTGGGCTCGCTCGTGCGCCGAAAGCAATGTCGGATGCTCGTTTCGGGGGGCCCCGCTTCGGCGGCGCGAGCCCGTGGGGGGAAGCGAGAAGGTCAGGAGGGAAAACAAGCACACAGACACAGCGAATTTTCGATCCCCCAGAAAATACAGGAAAATACGGGAAGTGGGGGGGGAAGACGAAAATCCAAAACATATGGAAACAGAAGGGGGATCCTATTTGTTGTGTGTATTTATTTGTGTGTCCCAGGGCCCCTTCAAAGGGGCGGGACTTTTCAGAAGGCTCGGAAGCCCCGCGGCCTTCGGAGAAATTTTCCGGGTCTTCCCCGAAGGCACAACCGATTTCTCTGAAGGCGGGGGGGGGAGCTTCTGTGAAGCCCCGCCGCCCTCTGAGAGGGCCCTCTCCTTCTCACTTCCCTCCCTCGCTCGCCGCCGAATGCTGGGTCCCAGCTGACGGATTATGTTCGATTTGAGCCTGAGTCGAGTTCGGCTCGAGTTGACAGACGTTCGACGCAGCACCGACGCACGAGTTCAGCGAGTGGCTCCAGGCCGGTCCCCAGAACAAGCATCTCACCAATGTCGACAGCCGAAACGCAGTCTAAGCCTGTGATGGTGGTGACAGGGGCATCGTACGGTTTAGGCGCTGCTATCGCGCAGCGATTTGCAGGGGCGTTTCAGGTTTGTGCGCTCGCTCGAGGTCGCGACAAGTTGGTGAAGCTGGTTGAAGAGTGTAGAGACAAGTCCGGCGTGGACAGCATTGCGTCCTACGAGTGCGACGTGTCAAACAAGAATGATGTGTTGGCGACTTGTAAGTCGATATTGGACAAGTATGGCCAAGTCGATGTGTTGATCAACAATGCCTCGACGTACGAGTGCAGTAACTTTCAAGATTTGTCCCTTGACAGCATCGACCACATGGTAGACGTGAACCTCAAAGGCACGATGTATATGACTCACTGCATCTTGCCATCGATGATGAGCGCGAAAGCTGGAAAGATCATTATGGTGAATAGTGTTGCGGGGACTGGCTCATGGACAGTGCCAGGCGAATCGATATACTGCGCAAGCAAGCACGGGCAAACAGGTTTCGCATCGGCCTTGGCCAACGAGGTCCGAGAACATGGCATCACGGTCACATCTTTGCACCCTGGAGGCATCGATACACCACTGCAGGTCAAGGCAGGAACGCCTGATGAAGTGCGAGCAAAGTTTTTGACTGCAGAGGATGTGGTTGACGCAATCCAGTATGTTGTCAACGCAGATTCGAGGGTCTTAGTGAAGACCATCAACTTGTGGCGCTCTGCGTTTTGGCACTAGAGCAGCCTCTTTCGCATCAGCGGTCATCCACACAGGGCTACCATAAAGAGGGGTGCCGCGACGCAGCTTCGCTTGTTACTTCGGCGAAGTGCTGAGGGGCCGTGTGCCGTCACCTGGGGATGTGCGCCATCTCCGGCCGACAAGGCTACGCTGGAGCCGGATGACGTCACGAGATACGTGACTTTGTTGGTGCGGTATTCTTTGTGGGGCTGTGTATCTAACAGCGACCACGTTGTTTTGGGGCACGCGTAGGCGTGTCAAGCTCCAGTCGAGCCGGACGAGCGGGGGGGATAGGGAAGGGGGGGGTACGAAATATGTTGCATGCAGCTGGTTTCAGCCCCACCGAGGGGCCCATTCCTCGACACATGGGCGCCTCTGGCGCCGGGGGGCGCCGGGACAGTCAGCTACGCGAGCTGATTCTCAAACCCCCCCTTTGTTATCCCCCCCTTCCGCCCGGCCCGATCCAGGGCCATCCGCAGCAAGGAGCAGCTCGACGTGAGCCGACACATCGGTGCGGTAGCTTGCGGGGGTGGGCGGTCGCGGTGCACCCGAGCGTCGCAGCCATCGCGGATGCAGTTCCTCAGTCCCTCTTCCTTGGCATCGCTCGGACGTTTGTAATTTTTCTCGGCGGGGACTAATAAGGAGCATCCTGGATCATCCTGCGAAGAACCAAGGCACAAAACCAACAAAAAAAACACAGGGAATGGACGTCCGAGCGATGGCCAGCTCCCATTCCCGCTCTTCCTCCTCGCCTCTATCAATCGCCATCGTCGCTCTTAGGCTTTGCCCTGCGAAGTTCCACACTCATGTTGTCGCAATGTGGCATGTTGCAGTGGTTTGCGGCTGGTTCCGCCGAGCCTGGAAGTAGGCAGCGGGGCTGCATTCCTGTGGCGAAAATATCCGTTGGGCCCACTCCGCAACCATACTTTGGTTGTGGCCTAGGTGCCTCATGGAAGCTTCTCGAAGGCGGCGTAGGGGCACCTTGCGGGCTTCTTGGTGCCCTCTTGGGGGCCTTCGGGGCTTCGGTGGCGAGATCCTGGGGGAAAGGGCTCGTGGGACTCCTTGGAGTTCCATCCCCTCTTTGAGCCCGTCTTGGAGCTCATCTTGGGAGCTCGGTGGAAGTCTCGGGGCGGCATTGCGCGCTGTTGCCGCAGTCTTGGGTGCCCGTAGTACTGCTACATTCATGCATCATCTCTCTGGCGGTAGACGGTCATGGCCTCCTGGGCCATCTCTGAGGGTCCCCAAGGCGGCTTCAGATATGTCAAAAAGAGATCCAGGCCTTGTTGGTGTGCCCCCTCACCCAGATTAATTATCCTTTTGCTGTTCTGCGAGTTTGCAATTCAGCGGACACCCGGCGCATGTGGGCACCGAGAATCACACGAGACGGGCGGCGATGCGAGGGGGGCAGGGGGAACAGCGGGGGAGGAGAGGGATGGAGCGGGGGGGGAGGGGGAAGGGGCAAGGTAGGTGTGCTCGTTTCCTATCAGACGTCCTACCCCTCCCTCGCATCCCTTACCATAGCGCAGATTCTCTTTCTATTCGCAGAATCGGATGCCGTAGCATGGAATAGCGTTACATGGCATAGCATAGTGCTGAAGACTAATGCGTAGCATGGCACAGCATGGCGTAGCCACCAAAGCGGGGTGGGGGAGTCCGCGGCACAAAACATCGACGAATCGGCAATGTGTATTCATTTCCGACGGTTTCTTCGGGAGGCCATTCTTTTGGTTTTGGGGCATATTTGGAAGGACCGAAAATCATGCCGTGGCATGGCATTGGAAATGGTTGCGCCAGCGCTGCAGCGGGAGCACGATTTGGATCAAGCGGAAGCGCGGAAATGATGCCAGCGTTGCAGCGGGCACACGATTCGGAACGATCAGTAGCCCGAACATGAGGCCAGCGCTTCAGCGAGAGCAGCATTTTGACAAGAACCAAGTGAAAACCCAACTTGGAATCATGTGTGTGAAAAACTCGAGCTCGGAGCGGGGAAATGAGGACGCGAAGCTTGACATAGCATTGCGTGGCGACGCCCGGAAGAAGGGGGGGGCTTGCCCGGTCCAAAAATCAACGAATCGGCACTGAATGTGTAATCGCTTCCGATGGTGTTTTTGTGGGGGGCATTGTCTTGGTTTTGGGGCATATTTGGAAGTACCGAAAACCATGCCGTGTCATGGCGCTGGAAGTAATGACGCCAGCGCTACAACGGGAGCGCGATTCGGAACGATCGGACGCGCGGAAATGAGGCCAGCGCTGCGCGCTGCAGCGGGAGCACGATTCGTAACGGGCGATATCCCGAAAATGAGGCCAGCGCTTCAGCGAGAGCAGCATTTTGACAAAAACCAAGTGAAAACCCAACTCCGTGGAATCCTGTGTGTGAAAAGCTAGTACTCGGAGAGTGGCCGAACAATCACCCGACGCCACCAGGGGAGAGAGGAGAGTAGTATTCATATTGTGGCATTGTGGAGGGGGAATGGGGATGGAGGGCGGGGGAGGGGGAAGGGGGGAATGGGGAAGGGGAAGGAGATGGAGCGGGTGGGGGGCAGACGAAGGGCGGCCAGAGGCCGAGGCCGAGCGGATCAAGGAGCGAGGAGGGGGGTGGCGGCTTTTTGTGGTGCGCTCGTGGGGGATGGCGGGGGGGGGTCGGCACCGCGGGCCATCGCGGCCCCAGCTCTCCACGAAGAGGCGGGAGGGGTGGGAGGGTGATGCTGAGGGGGGAGTGGCAGGGAGGAGTTGGAGGATCGGGGGAAGGAGGCGGAGGGGGGATGGGGAGGAGAAGTTGGAGGATCGGGGGAAGGAGGAGGAGGAGGAGGAGGAGGAGGAGGACGAGGAGGAGGAGGAGGAGGGATTGGGAGAAGCACGGAGGAGGAGGAGGAGGAGGAGGAAGAGGAGGTGGAGGGAGGATGAGGAGGAGGAGCGCACCAGGGGTCGGTCTTTTGCGGACACAGGTCCTCGAGGACAACACAGTCGGCGGATGCAAGCGGACACAGCGCAATGTGATGGGATCGGTGTGAGGTGGGTCCGGTTGCCAGACATGGCGCGAGCGGTTACACGCATCTCAGAGAAAAAACAATGTGGTTGCAGTTGTAGTTGCAGCTTGCTGCGCAGTGGTTATGCAGTTTTACATGGCATCCGCATGCCATTTCGCCCTCCCCAGCCGCCTTCCTGCCGTTTGAATGCGTCAATGTCGTATATTGCTCTGCAGTTTCCAATTTCCGTTATTTGTTTCGTTTCCGTTTCCAGGTCGCGCATGTTTTAGATCACATCTATCTATATATGATTCGAGCAGTGTTTCATTTCGGGTTCCAGAATTTGTGAGAGCGACGTTTAATCACAGACAAATCACGTCCTGGCCGTTTTGAGATACAACGTTGTCCTCCTGCTCCCCTTTCCTCTTCCCCTCCTGCTCTATCCCTCCCTCTTCCGTCCTCCCCTCCTTACCTCCGCCCTCCGTCCTCATCGCCGGCGAAATCCGAACCCTACCCTCGCCGATCAACTATCCAAACAACTCGACGGGCTGCGGGGTCAGGGCTCGGAATTCGTCGAGCACGTGGTGCAATCCGAACCCTACCCCCGCCTCCCATCGATTCGGGACAATCGATGGTGTGGTAGGGGTCGGATTCTGATGTCGCCACCTACCTCGTCTTCCCGTCCCCATCCTCTCATCCTCCTCCTCCTCCTCCTCCCTCCCCACCTCTCCGCTCCCCCCCCCCGCCCGAGGAAATCGCTGCCGCCGTCCAAGCCGGGAAGCTCCCGAAGATCATCGACCTTGAGGCGCGTCACGCGCGCGCATGGTTTGCCCCCTTCCTGTGAAGTGTCAGGGCGCGCCCAAGCGCGGGACCTGGGGCTGTTGCTGTGTGCCCCGCCTCTTTCCTACGTTCACCTCGTCCCGTTCCGCCGCCACCAGAGGACTAGAACCCACCGTTCCGTCGCCGACCCTAGCGGTGTCTGTATTCTCTCCTCTGGAGGTGCTGGAGACGCGACGGGTCCCGGAGGTACGGGCCACTTCCCCGGGACCGGTTTGTCATCCTTTCGCTGCTTTTTGGCGGTCTCGCGAGGCCCGGGAAGCGCCCCCCGGAGGCCGAAAGCAGCGGAACGCGACGGGGGCCTGGGGATGCGGCCGCCCACGGGGCCCCCACGAGGCCACGCGCGGCCACGGGTGGCCCCTCGGCGGCCCCCCACCCCCGCGCGCCCCGGGGCGAGGCGCCCTCCCACGAGGCACCCGCCTCACGGGGCTTGCCCACGACCTCCTCCTCCGCCTCCTCCTCATCTTCCTCCTCCTCCTCCGGCCACGCACCGGGCACCTGGCGAGAAACCACGGAAATAGAGGCCTCCTGCATGGGGTCGGAGGATCGCGCCGAGAGGGGAAGGAGTGCTTCTTAGAAGCACCCCTCTGCTCCTCAGAAGGTGCGGGCCTTGTCTGCAGATGTAAGGCCAGGGCCTTCTAGGAAGCAGCTCGAGGCCTCCCAGATTGGGTCGAAGTAGATGGGGTCGGAGGGTCGCGCCGCATCGCCGATGCACCGGCGATGCATCCATCGCCGATGCGGCGCGATGTGGGGCCCTCTACGTCGACGTCGCCGATGCATCGCCGACGCCGATGCGCCGATACATCGGCGATTCATTGGCGATGCGGCGCGATCCTCCGACCCCTGTCTACTCGGACCCCATCTGGGAAGCCTCTAAAGGCTTAGCGTGCACCACACAGGATGCATCACATTGCTTGCACCGCAGCTTGTGCACTTCGGTTTCAAGTCACGTGCCCAGCGTCGATTTGCAAAAGCCAACGAGATGGTACCACCCGGAATATTACACGTGGCTTGCACCACATGGGCTACGCCAGACAGCTTGCACCGCACAGGGTGCACCACATAGCTCACAACACATAATTTACGCCGTACAGTTTGCACCAAGTAGGTTGCTCCACACAGCTGGCACCACATAACTTACACATAATCGTTGCTTGTACCACGTATTGTGTGCCTCTTTGACCGTCTTGGGGCGGTCTTGGGTGCCTCTTGGGCCATCTTGGAGCGCAGGAAGCTTGAAAAGTCGAGGAACCTGAAAACTTTGAACACCGAAGGGGGAAGTCAATGATGTTGGCCTCTCGGGCCCTCTTGGGAAGGTTCTTAGGGCACCTCGAGTGCTTCTGGGGCCGCCTTGGGGCTATCAGAGACGTCTTACACCGATCAAGTGGAGATTCGCAGTCCTCTTGGACCGTCTGGGCGGCCTCTTGGGGCCCTTTTGGCCTGTCGTGGGGTCCCCTCGGGTCCGAACAAGTCATGCGACAAGCCGCACGGAGCCCTAAAGAGCACGTGTCCCTAAAATAATCTTCGGGATTGAGGGCTGAGACTAAAGGAACTGGCCACAGAATTGAAGAAAGTCCAACTCGTGCTTCACTTTGGCACCCGTGACCGATACATATATATATATATATGTATATATACACACATGTGTAGATGTATGTATGTTCATATAGACGCGTGCGTGTTTATGTACACGCATCTAGATAGATTGCACACCATACCTTCCACATTCAGAGCACCGTACTCAATGTTTCGGGTCCGCGTGGGCAAACTTTTTCGTTGTGGGGGGCGGCCGAAGCCCAATGGCAAGCGACGCCCTCTCGTTTGGTTGGGGAATCGTCCTGCGGGCCAGGTATGTAAACAGATGTTTGCCAGCGTCGACCCGAACCAGTCATTGCAGCGTGGAGGTGATAGAAACGTGGCCCAAGCTAGGTGAAGCACGCTGTCCGGTACGAGTTCTGCGATGCAAGCCATGTGGCGTAAGCTACGTGGTGCAAGCTGTGTGGTGCAAGCTTGGCGGGCGCCCACGAGGCGCACATGGACAGCCGAGCCACGCGGCACTCACGAGGCGCCCATGGGTGCCAATTGAGTAGGCACCGGGCGGGACCGTGCCAAACCCACGCAGCACACGCGGCGCCCACGAGGTGTCCCCCGGGGCCCCCGGCGGCAAACGGCCGGGCGCCTGGCAGAACCCGCCAAACCTGTCGTGGCTCGAGATACGAACGAGGGTCAGCCAGAGCGCAGGATCTTGCAGGATCCTGCGTAGCCAGGCTCGCTGATCCGGGCTTGGGTGCAGGATCCTTGAGGAACCTTCAAGATCCTGCAAAGCTTGACCGACCCGGGTCTGCAGTGACCCGGGTCAGCAGTTCTCCGACCCACGCAGCACAAGGCGGCGCCCACGAGGCGCCCACCTCCGGCAGCCGACGCGCGCCAGAGCACGGCGGCACACCCACCGGCGAAGAATAGGCAGAGTGCGCAGGCGAAGGACGATGGAAGGGAGGAACTCTTTTGCAGGAGCAAGGGCAAGGACAGGCCAAGGCCTTGCTCCGCCTCGTGTGCTACAGGACTTGCCCAGTTCCCAGTCCGTTCTTGTCGAGCCGGCCCCGATTCGCAGGCCGACCCTGCCAAGTCAAGGGTACATTTGCGGCTCTGCGTCTGGCATCTTATGCCTCCTACATTCCTTTCTCATGGCGCTGTGGCCCTCGGAAGGGTATTGTGTCATCTCGCGTGTCCAATCGAAAAAAAGCGCAGGAGGAGGAGGAGGAGGAGGAGAAAGAGGAGGAGAGGGAGGAGGGAGGGGGGAGGGGGGAGGAAGAGGTGGAAGGGTGAGGAGGAGGAGGAGGAGGAGGAGGAGGAGGAGGAGGAGGAGGAGGAGGAGGAGGGTGGAGGAGGAGGGAGGGGGAAAAGGAGGCGAAGGAGGAGGAGGAGGAGAGGAGGGAGGAGGAGGAGGAGGAGGGGAGGAGGAGGGGGGGAAGGAGGGGAGGGGGAGAGGGGGGAGGAGGGAGGAATGAGGAGGAGGAGGAGGAGGAAGCGGAGGAGGAGGAGGAGGAGAGAGGAGGAGGAGGAGGGAGGAGGAGGGAGGAGGAGGAGGAGGAGAGGGAGCAGGGAGGAGGGAGGAGGGAGGAGGGAGAAGGGAGCAGGGAGGAGAAAGGAGGGAGGAGGGAGGGAGGAGGGAGGAGAGAGGATGGAGGAGAAGAATGAGAAGGAGGAAAAGGAGGAGAAGGAGCAGAAGGAGGAGGGAGCAGAAGGAGGAGAAGGAGGAGAAGGAGGAGAAGGAGGAGGGAGCAGAAGGAGGAGAAGGAGGAGAAGGAGGAGAAGGTGGAGGAGGTGGGGGAGGAGGAGGAGGAGGAAGAGGTGGAGGGGGAGGAGGCGGCGGAGGAGGAGGAGGAGAAGGGAGGGGGAGGAGGACTGTACAGAGTGTGCCGGTCGAGATCTTGTGGACTTGGGCGTTGTCGGCCCGCCTCCGCCCTCTCTTCGGAACTTCAGTCGCGCGTCAGCCTTCTCTGGGCCCTCGACTGTCCGTCCCTTTATTCAACAATGGCCGCGGCTCGTGCTGAACAACTTCAAACTAAAGCTCAAATAGAAGACAATAATGCAAATGCTCTTCTGAACGCTGGAATCACTGCTCCAAAAACTATGCAAATATTAGATGCAAACACAAGCTCCAAACTTCCAACAATGCAAACGAAGCAACAACAAAACTACAAGCAACATTCAATCAATCTTACCCCCCCCCGCCTCTGTCTCTCCGCCCCCCCAGTCCCCTTTTCGCGGTGCGACAGAAGTCACGACCAGGGGGTCTCTGTCGCCATGTTTGGCCCCCGGGGGCGCTTCCCGGGCCTCGGGACCGCAACAGAACGACTCTGGATGGGAAGTCGGTCCCTTGGGTCCAGACCTCTTTGGGTCGACGTTGCGAAAAAATGTCGACGTGAGGGGTCTGTGTCCGTGGCAGCGCCCGCCATGTGAGCGTCCTCCCCCCCCCCCTACTCCCGCCCCGCGGCCGCTTTCGCCTGTCTTTTGTCCTCCTCCTGCCGCTGGTTGATTTGCGCTTTCCGTAGTTCGTTCCGCCCGAGCGCGTGTGCGGATTGCCTCTTGCCGCGCTGCGGCGTAAAATGAGCCGCGGGCGGGCGCCGGGTCTACCCTGCCCGATCCCGGCTGCGGCTTGCATCTGCCCCCGTGAGACGGGCGTCTTGCGTCGGCCCGAAAGGTCTGTTTCGAATCGCGCTCGCCCGTATGGCTTGATAGCCACAAGCTGACCTAAACCGCCTTTGTTGTTCCACGTGATTCCACAGTACAGTATGTGGTGCCTCATCTGGGCAGCCCGTATTCGCGAGGAATGGTGGTTGAGGTGCGGGGCGGCGGGGGGGCGACGCAAGAACATGTGTCATTGCATGTTTGCAAGTTTCCGGCGGTGGTCGGGCGATTAATTGGGATCGGAGGGAGCGATCTATTTGTTTCTCCGTCGTCTTCCCCCAGCCACCCTTTCACCCATCGCGACGTCGCGATCCCTGCTGTGTTCCTTCCTCTTTTCGTCCTCCTGGTTCATCATCAGATTTTGCCGATCCTCATCTTGTCCTCTTCACCCGTCCTCGTAGTTTCCGCTGTCCCCCTCATACTATCAGCAGACTTTCTTTTTGCATGGTTGCCCTACCCTCCACGTGTTTTGGTTGCCCTCCTATTCCTCGTCACGTCCTCTTGCCACCCCTTCCTATCCACCTCCCGTCTTCCTTCTTTGTTGTCTTACTCCTAAGTACCTTTCGCCCCCTCATTTTTTTTTTTGTTCCGATCCTTCTCCCCGTCCTTCTCTTCATTTTCTTCCTTCTCATTCTCTACTCTTTTCTCTCCCCATCCATCCATACCATTCTCCCAGCGTCCTCCTCACAACCCCCTCCCTTATTGTCCCCTCTCGCCTCCCCGGCACCCCGCTCCTTCAACCTCCTCTTCCTGTCCTCACCCCCCCTTCCTTCTTACCCGTCGTGCGCTCGACGTCTTCTCCGTCTCTGCTCGTTCCCGCCGGCTCCCCCCATCCTTCTCGCCGCGGCGAGGGGAATCTGCTGGAGAGTCGCGGCATCAGGGCGCTGGAGAAGCTCGGCGTGAAGGCGCGCCTTCTTCGGACGCCCCTCCCCCTGGCATCGCTCGGACGTGTGCATTTTTCTTTCGGCGAGGACCATCGATGAGCATCCTTGATCATTTGGCGAAAAAGCCACGCACGAAACCGAAAAAAACACAGGGAATGGAAGTCCGAGCGATGGCCAGTCCCGAGGAGAACGATGATTCGTTTCACTCAGCACCTCCGTCTCTTCCTTGCTTTAGTCTTCCTTTCGTGACCCTCGCCTATCCATCTTTCCTGTCCGTCTCGCCTCCATAAGCGTCAGCAGTCCGGGCTGGGCGTGCACGTAGCTTTCTCTTGATCCCAGAATTGAGTTCCGTTCCATGGTTGACACGGGCGGAGGGATTGTCGCTTTCAAAATGTGGGTGGCCCTCGTTTTTGCGCCGCGCACATCTGTTCAAAACAATCTCAACTTTTGCACGGATGGAGGATTTGTCGTTTCCAACGTGGTTGTTTGGCTCAGGACCGCGATTCGCTTCAGAAGTTCCCAAAACGGACGTTGTATTTGTACAAGATGTTGATCTCGCTTCAGTCTGTTTTCCAGCATGCTACGCTCGGACCGAGGCATAAGATCTACGTAGGTCGGCTCGAGGAGGCTATACTAATGTTCTCCGTGTTTGTTGGACGTCCTGGTGCATCCTGGAGGAGGGTACCCTCGAGTGACCTTCTGGTTCGGGGTGTGTTGATCGGCGAAGGGTATCGTGTTCTTGAAGGATGTGTTTTTCTTCGCCAGATCCGATCGTGCCACATTGGTAAAGTGTGCGCGGCAGGCGCCGCACAGATGCATGGCGGCGTCTTGTCACAGTCGGGGCTGTCGTGGGGCACTGCCATGGTCTGCCACCTTTCGACGGCTGAAAAGCCCGCATTACTAGCCCACGTGGCGCTCGTGCGGCACGGTCTTAAACGGCACCGACATCAATGTGCCGTTGGCTTCTCGGGGGTCGACCCGCAGATTGACTACCCACCAGACCATCCCAACCCAACCCAAAGACCCGAATTTGACCCGACTTTCGGGTTGGGGAGGGGTGCATGTTCCATGTGTTTTTTCAGTGTTCCCCGACCCCCCCCGAAGTGAGGCCTTCGGGTTGGGCTGGGGTGGTTTGGTGGATGGGTGTGTCGGTGCTGTGGGTGGGGGTGGTTCGCGTGGCCAACCCAGATGCAAACAAGACTCGCTCGCGTGCTTCTGCAGCTTCTTCTGCGCGAGGTCGGCGTCGCAGGCGAGGTCGGCGTCGCAGAAGCCAGATTCCCAACACCGCCGTCGAGCAAAAAACGTCGCCGGTCGCGTGGCCTCTTGGTCGACCCGCTGGCCCTGGCTATATATGCATACAGCGACGGCCATCAGCCCAAAGCGCGCGCGGGCTCGAGGCAGAGTCTGTGCTGCGCGGCGGCGGGGGGAGGGACCTATGGGAAGCAAACGAAAAGCAAGCAGGCAGCGGCGGAGGCTCCGCGGGAAGCCGGGACCAGCGGGACAAAGCAGCTCTCCCCTCCTCCCTCCTCCCCTCTCCTTCCTCCTTCTCCTCCTCCTCCTCCTCCTCCTCCTCGCGGGGCTGTCCGGCGAAAGAGGGAACAGGGGGTGAGGAGGTGAGGGGGGTGACGGGAGACGAGACGGAGGGAGAGGGGATCGATTGCAGCAGGGGTTGGAAGAGAGGGGCCCCCACGTCGAAGCTACGGACAGCAAGGCGGCGACGGCGACCAGGCGGCGCAGGCGGCGGGCGTGATGGAGTGGATTGTCCTTGTCGGGTTCGTCGAGGGACGGGTTCGTCGAATGGGGGTCGTCGTCTGATGGTCTTCGGGCTGGCTGGCTGGGCTCTTGCTGGCTTGGGGGGCTGTGAAGCTGGGATCGTCCTCCAGGGACCTTCTCCGCCAATGCCTCCCGCCCCGCCGGGGGGTCGCGCGCCGCCGGCCCGCGGCAAAAGGACCTGCCGCGCTAGCGGGGCGAACTCGCGCAGTGCGAAAGAATGCCCTGCACGGGGTTCGCGTGGAGGGGGCGTGGGGGCGAGAGGGCGCTGTGCAACATGACAGACACAGCTTGGGCTTGCTGGCGCCCGCCTGGTCTTCCCCGTCCCCGCCCTTCCCCGCAGCTGCCCTTGGCACCGTCGCCCCCCGCCACTGGATCGGCAGAGGCTGGGATGTCGCCGTTGTTTGGGCGTGTGCGTCAGATGGGCCACCCGCGCTTTGCAGCGCCGCGTCCCAACCATCCCCCGTGCGTTTCTAGCGTAGGCTCGTCCAGTTGCGCTCCACTTGTTCCTTCCCGCTCCGTTCCTGCAAGGCTCTGCACTCTCACTTTTCCATCGCCCCCAATCTTCCCCATTCTTCCTCCTCGTCTTCTCTTGTTGATGCGATTCGCTCCCATGCTCCCCCCTCGTCGTGTATCATTTTCCCCACCTCCACTCCTTTTTTGTCCTCCTCCCCTTCCCTCCACACCTTTCTCTTCCACTTCCCCTCTCCTCGTTCGTCATGTCCTTCTACACCCGATTCGTCTCCGTTTTTCCATCCCGTTATTTTGTTCCTGGAGAGGTCTTTCATTTTCTTATTGAATCGTTTTGCTCACTCCGCCGGCCCATGGTGGGCGACAAAGAGGATAGGGGATTCGATTGGGAAGCAGGAGGACGAGGAGGGGGAGGAGGAGGAACAGGAGGAAACCTCTCGACTGCTTTTTGGTGCACCGTGGGGACCTAACTGGGTCGCGGACGAGCCGCATCTTTGAAAGGCCCTTGGGGTCCCTTTGGGGGGCTTCTTGGGGGCCTCTCGCTGCATTTGGGGGTCCTCCTGGGGTCTCTTGGGAGCCCCGTGGTGTTTCGTTTTGGCTTCCGGGGGCCTTTCGACGGTTTCTTGCGAGCGGTAGCTTTGAGGGCAAGCTTTTGGGGAAGGCTCGCTCTGTCTGGTCGGGTTTCCCTTTTTGAGGCCCTAAGGGGAATCTCTGGAGCCCTCTGGGGAGGCCTCTTAAGCCGCCTTGAAGCCCTCTTGGGCTGTTTTGGGGACGTCCTGGGAGCCTTTTGGGCTGACTTGGGGCGATCTTGGAAGCGTCTGGGGCCGTCCTGGGAAAGACGGTGACGCCCAAATCTGTCAAAATCTCAGCCAAGTCCATGAGTTCTGCCTCTTCGAGCCCTCTTGGGGTCTTCTCGGAGCCTGCCTGAGGCTCCTTGGGCGCCTGATAGGCTGTGCTAAGATCAACTTGGGTTACCTTGGAACGCTCTTGGCCTGAAGCCGTGAGGCCTGCCACCTACCCAGCGCCTCCTTGGGGCGCTATTGGGGCGCTCCAGGGGCCCCACGCCAACGGGGCCGCGCCCTAGAGGTAAGTCGGGCACGTCCCTCTACAGGATGAGAATTCAACAAAATAGTAAACACATGTTCTGGGGACGATTTCTTTTAGCAGGTTTTGCTTATTTGATTTGTTTTGGATATGTTTGGGATCTGCTTCTGATTGCTCGTCCAACAAATTCCCCTGTATGGGGACATGCCCGACGTAACGACCTAACCCTAGAGTTCCAGTGTCTGTGACCTGGCCCTGGACAGAGTTATTTTCGTCGGGGGACCTGCATTGGCCGCCGCGCGCGCGCGAACCAGAAACGTTTTTTTTGTTTTTTTGTTTTTTTTTTTGTTTTTTGTTTTTTTGTGTTCTCAAAAATTCTTACCGTCTCGTTGGGCGGACGAATGTGTGCACCCTTTGTGCCTTTCGCGTTCCTCCTTTCCTCGCGTCGTTTCTCCCCGCGGGTAGCTTTTCTCCTCCAGCTTCCGAGTTCGCGACGAAAGTGAAGCCGCTCAAAAAAGGAATGAAGACCTGGGGCACACACCAATGCGGCTCTTCAGACGCACCCTGATCGAGCATGGACGACCCCCCACTGTATATCCCAGGGTTGGGCCCCAAAGTGTTGGTCCATTAGAAAACCCCAAGAACCCTGTTATAAGGGGTCGACATTCCCCTGGTTCCCTCCCCCGTCCCCCATCCACCTTCCCTCCTCCTCCTCCTTTCCCCTCGTCTCCACGGGGTTTCTGGACGCCCTCCCGAGGTTCCTGCAGGCCCTCCGACAAGACACGACGAGGCACCGCTTTGGAAACACAGGGATCCGCTTCCTGCCCTCCACCCCTCCTCTGCCCGCTGCCTGCCGGAGTCCTCCGCCCCTCGCTCCTCGCTCCTCGCGCGTCCTCCGCACTGCCGTCCTCGTGCTCCTCCTCCCCCGTCCCCTCCCCTTGGCATCGCTCGGACGTGTGCATTTTTCATTCGGCGAGGACCATCGAGGACCATCCTGGACCATCGAGCAGCAAAAACACGCACGATACCAAACAATGCACGGGAAGTGAACGTCCGAGCGACGGCAAGCCCCCCTTCCCTTCCCCCCCCCATCTTCCCTCGTGTTCCCCCGCCCTCCCCAGACTTCCAGCGTCGGCTTTTGCTTGTCAAGACGGGGGTCCCCAGAGATTCGGGCCCCTGCCCCGGGACTGGGTGCGAAGTCATGGTGGGTCGATCGGTGGGGGGAGCCGCGACGGCTGCCGAGAAGGAGCCCTGGAGGCCGCGGGACGGGCCCTTCATGGCCCCCGAGGTGGCTTTTGGGGCCCGAGAAGGGCACCTCCATCGCCCCTGGTTCATTCGCGCCCACCCTTCAGTCGGGCCTGTCCCTCCAGAGGAGCCTCCAGAGGAGAAATATTCAAAAATAGTGCAAAAATAGTCCAGGGACTATTTTTTGGATTTTGTTTGCATTGGGGGTATGTTTTGAGTGCTGCTGATTTTTCGTTGCAAATCCCCCTGTAGGAAGGCACGCCCGACTTAAGCCCACCCGGGACTGGGCTTCAGGCGGGCGTGCCCCCTTACAGGAGGAAAGGATCTTCTCCGGGAAAATGGTTCGTTCTCGGGGAAAAGGTTCGTTCTCCGGGTGAAGTGAGGCAAATGCCGGGTCGGCTAGTTCTCCAGGTGAGACCCTTACAGGTTTTCCCGCCTTCCCCAAACACCAAAAAGCAAACACCAAACACCAACCCCCAAACACCACCCCC